TCTCTTCCATCCAGCACATGTTTAGTAAGCTTGATTCGTGGATGTGCTGTATCTCACACCTTGCTCACTTGTTTCGGCTGACTTGCAGTCCGGGAATATGGGGGTCGGCATAACTAGTAATACTTAATAATAACTCCCGATAGCTCCCAATATTATGTGAGTGTTACATAGCCCAAAACCTTTATTACTCTGATTATCCCGGCTATAAGGGTTACAAAAAGGGTATTGTAGGGGGTTATTGTTGAGGCTTCTAGAGCACACTTCGTGGATTCTCTCGAGGCGTACCTTGCACCCGGGGTTGCACCGCCCCCTGCAGTGGTCTGGCATCAGCTTCGCACGCGAGCTTCATGAGGGAGCGGTTGCTAAGGCCAGCTGATCACCCCTAAACCCCAAACCCTAAACCCCCTAAAACCCCCTAAACCCTATAGATCCCTTATAGAGCCCTGATGGATCCCTTTAAAGGAACCCCTATAGATCCCTGAAAACCCCCCTCTTCTTTTGCCGTTCTTCCGGCCCTGGGCCGCCTCTTCTGGTTGACTCGATTCAGTCTTCTGGCTCCACCCCAGAGAGCCCAATACCCCTTAGTTAAGGAATAGACCTTAAATCATTAGGGGGCTTCATATTAGGATCTAAGCCATATAACACCTTATTAAGGAATATAGTTTTGTTATGAAGCCTATAATGACTTAGGCTCCATTCCTCAATTAAAGGGTAAATTGGGCTCTCTGGCTCCGCGGTGCGCCGCTGGAAGATCGGCATCTCCCCGGTTTCTAGCTCCCAAGGTCCTCCAAGCCGTCGGGGCACTTGGAGGATCATGGGACTTAGTAAGTAGGGTCCCTTTAAGGGATCTATAGGGGTAATTACTATTAGGGTTTAGGGTCTACTTAAAGGATCATGGGACTTAGTAAGTATGGTTATAAGTACCTTCATTGGGGTTATAAGTAATTATAAATACGGTTACCTTAATTATAACCCTGGTTACTAAGTCAAGGCAAGCGATGAGCAGGCTGTGACTCGCACTGTCGAGGCCTTCGCCGAGGCTAGCCCAGAGATTCCAATACCCCTTAATTAAGGAAAGCCTATGTCTTAATATGAAGCCCCTAATGATTTAAGGTATATTCCTTACAATTAGAGAATATAGCTTAAATCATAATATGAAGCCTAGAATGATGTAAGGTATATATTCCTTAGTTAAGGGGTGTATTGGGCTCTCTGGGAGTACTTCTGCCAAAATCAAGCTGCCTCCTTTGTCTCCGTAGCACAACTGTCTCCAAGGCTCCTTCTGTTGATGGGCTCCTGTAAGAGATCTATAGGGGGTTTAGGGTTTAGGGATATAAATTCTGCATTACCTGAAGGATCCTAAACTATGAGAATTATGGTATTCCTTATTGCGGGTCATGCAGGATTTATATCATCAACCCTTCGGTCGCCCTGGCACCGGCCTAGCTTCGCTTACTCCTCCAGAGGAACTGCTTTGGGGCCCTATGGTAAACCTCAAGCCCCGAACCTACCCATAGGCCCCATAGTAGTTCCTTTTGAGAGTTACCTTAAAGGATTCTAAATATGAACCCCAAAAAGGAACTACTTTGGGGCCCTATGGTAAAGCCCAAGCCCCCGAACCGCAATCCTTAACGCCAAGCCATGCCAGGCCCAACCGACCGAAGCAAAACACGGCCCAAATCCCCTAAACACTGAATAACACTAAATCCTAAACCCCTAAACCTTAAACCCCAAATCCCCTAAACACTGAATAACACTAAAACCCTAAACCATCAACCCCGAAACCTTAAACCCCAAATCCCCCAAGCACTGAAACCCTAAACCCTCAACATGGACGGTGTCATGAGGCCTTGCCTAGATTTCGGCTCGTCGACGCAGCCCTTGCCACGCTTGCTTCAGGGGTCGGGGGGCTTTGGGCGTAAGCCCTCTAAACCCAAAACCCGAAACCCCATATGAACCCTACATAAAACCCTTAATCCAGACATGATCTTTAATCTCTCTAAGCCTAGGGAGCAAAAGAGCCCAAAAGCCTTATATAGTATGGTCTTCGGGCCCAAAAGCCTTAAAATATCAGTCCTTAGAGCCTAAACCCTATAGATCCCTTAAAGGAACCCTTATAGATCCCTTAAAGGAACCCTTATAGATCCCTTTAAAGGAACCCTACATGAGTCCTCAGATCCCTAGGGTAAGCCTTTTAAGGTTTCGGATTTGGGTTTGGGGTTTGGGTTTAGGGTTCAGGCGACTAAGGGGTCGGGACAATTGGAAAAACAGTTCCTTGTATTATCCGTTTGGTTTTAGTGTAATGTACCCCAAACCCCTACTGAAAGTTATTAAGGCCTGTATCATTATACCCCAAACCCCTACTAAAAGTTATTAATCATTAATTCCTGTATCATGCGTCTATGCCCGGCAAATAGGGTTAGGCAGCTACAAATGGGGTCAGGCAGTCGCTCGGAGCGTTGCACATGCTTAATAACTTAAGAGACGGAGGGCAGTTTCCGGCAGCCTGGATCAAGTCAGATTTTGGTCCGGCAGATGATCTGGGGTTTAAGCTTTATGGCTTTTGTTTGGTGACTAGCACGAGCAGTACAAGCATAATGTGACCAGTCTCACTAGAAACGTGAAGAGCAAGCAGAACAAGAGTGCTAGCAATGACAGCAATGCTGTTATTGGTGCTAGTCCTCGGAACTAAACTTAACCCAAAACCCCAAAACTCTGCACCCTGCCCTAAACTTGCACCGGATGCCAGACCCTCAACCCACACCCTAGTACTTGTTCCTTTAGGTTCCTTATAATAGCTATACTATAATCTACCTTAACCTACCAAACCCTACCTTTTTGTAGGTTCGTATTATAAGCCCTAGTTTGAAATTTATAGGGACCTACTTTTTTATAGGTTTTGGTAGGTTAAGGTACAACAAATCCCGGCAACACAACTGTTGGCGGCGCGTGAGGAGCCGCGCCGCAAGCGGCTGCGGCTAGTGTGAGGTTCACGGCCTACGGACTCATCATGGACCCTGTCTTGAAGCCTGTGCAGGCTAATCAAGCAGAAAGCGATTGCCGTGTGCTTCGCGCCTTGACATCTTTTGGTTTGAGACAGGGAGTGGCAACCAGCTGCTGGACGTTTCGACGACAAGCGCTGGCAACACGGAAGCAAAACGGAGCCTTTTTTGTCGGGACACAACCAGGACCGGGAGACAGGAGAAACCAGAGCCAAGACAGGACCGAACTCTGCAGCCACGGAAAGGGTCCTTACTGGTTAACGTGGCCAGCCTTGGCTTGTTCGAGCATAGTTTCCGAGTTTACGGACCTGTGCGAAGCGGGTCATCTGTCGTTTGATTATCCGCACATGCCAAGTAAGCCGTTTTGCTCGCCCAACCGCAAGTCCGCACCACCAAAAACCTCATTCTGATTGTTACTGTACACCCTTAAAACCCTCATCGTAACCCTTGTAGTAACCTTCAAAGGAACCCTTGAAGGAGCTCTAACCACCATTCTACTTTTAAGGCCCCTTACTTGGAAGGGCAGGGGACTTAGTAAGTAGGTTATAAGTAGGGTTATAAGTTATAATTGGGCTATAACTCCATTTAGGGCACTTATAACTCTACTTATAACCTACTTACTAAGTCCCCTGCCCTTCCAAGTACTTACATACACCCGACGCCCCACGCGAAGATTCGTCCAGGTCCCAGGACTGGGCTTCGCCCGCGTGCCCGGCGCTTATCCTGTCGCCCTTCGGACACCCTAAAAAAAAACTATACTTAGATAGTGAACGGGGAACTTTGGCCTTATTTACTAGCTCTATCTTAGAAAATTTGAACTTTTTGGGGCCCGGCTGTTGAAAAAGAGAGTTTAAACCCTGAACTCTGTACCTTGAATCCTAAACCCTATAAACCCCTAAACTCTAAACCTTAAACCTTAACTTGAGGTTTCGGATATCGGTTTCAGGTCTTCGAGTTTTGAACTTCGGTGTTTAAGGTTTCAGCCTTTGGGGTTGCGGTTCGAGGGTTTTCGGTTTAGGAATAGAGGGCTTTAGAGTCTTGGGCTTGGCATATAGGGATCCTGCCACCTTTGTTGGGGGTTTCCGAACGTGAGGGCTCCCTGAAAGTGATCTGTAAGGGTTCTATAAAGGGTTTAGGGTTTAGAGTTTCCGAAAATAGGGTTACCTTATTTTAGGGTTCTTATGGGAAGGATACTATTAGTTACGGTGTTATATTAGGGTCCCCTATTTTCTGAAACCCCGATATAGGGAACCTATCACCTTTGATAGGGCAAACATTATGAATCGTAGCCTTTGGCGAAGCAGATGTAGCAACACAGCAAGCACAATGAACATCGTTACATGGGAGTTTCCGAAAATTAGGGGTAGCTTGTTTTGGGGTCCTTATAATAAGGATCCTACTATCTAAGGGTACTATATTAGGGTCCCCTATTATCGGAAACTCCCACATTGAGCCGAACTCGTTGAGGCACAGTTCTTTTAGGTCGGAGGGTCCCATGGCTCCGGATAGCTCGGCTTCCAGAGGTTCGGGCCGGGGACGCACATGGGAGTTTCCGAAAATAGGGGACCCCTAATAGAGTACTCCAAATAGGAGGATCCTTATAATGATGACCCCAGAATAGGGTACCCCTAATTTTCGGAAACTCCCACATGTCCCCGATGACATGTTTCTGCAACGCAGTTACCCTGCTTCTTTCTCCTGGGAGGCATGTGCAAGAACACTAGGAAGTCTTGACAAACTCCCTGTTGTGTTGATCAGGGAGTTTCCGAAAATTAGGGGTACCTTCTTGTGGGGTCCTTAGACATCCCAGAAGCTCGATGTGCCGAGCCAGAGAGCTTCATATAGGGACCTAAATGATTCCCTATACTACTCTGGGGGTTTCTTATTATAATTATAGTATACTGGGCCCCAAAACCCTGTTCTAATTATTAAGGCCCCTACATGTGAGGGTTACCGTGCAATATTGTGTGAGAGCACATTTTGACTCCCTAAAGCGCAATGGCCGATCGGGTGCGGCGCTCTTTGTGGATGCGGCGTCCACGTATTACTCCGTAGTCAAAGATGCACTCACCCTTACTGATGTCCAGCGACAGGACACAGCCCTTTTACAGGCGCGTGCGGCGCGCCTGTTTGCCTCGCAATTACATGCGACTTCCTTCCGAGCATCTAGCTTCAACTTCCAACCACAGACCCAACAGCCTGAAGCCGACGCCTTTGACCACCCTTAGAAACCATAACTATGTGGGTGCCCATAATGGCTGATTAAACAGATAACTAATGCCCCGAACACTGAACCCTTAAATCTGAAATACTTGGGGGGTTCTACTTCTACGGGGTCTTTTGAGCGTTTGAACGCTTGTCTTGAGTACAAAGTCCAAAACCAAAAACCCACCTCTAAACACTAAGTCTGTGAACCCTTTTGATCCCTAAGGCCTTAAACCCTAAACCCCAACGCTCGCTATTAAAGAGATGTAAAACATCTTCAAGTCCTACCCATAGGCCCCACAGTACGTCCTTTTTGGGATTACCTTATAGGATTCTAAATGTGGACCCCAAAGAGGAACCACTTTGGGGCCCTAAGTCCTATAGCCCATAACCATGAGGTCCCATGAGCTGCGGGAGCGCTGGATCTCTTTGATCGGAGGCGCCGCTTCCACGGCTCAGGGAGCCGAGGGAGCCGCGGGCGTTCAACTAAACTCGGCTTTGAAATGATTTCCATATACTGCCCAAAGGGTCCAAGTACCAGTATCGTAGGTATTTACGCCCCCAAAGTATGTACTATACCATTACTTGGACCCTTTGGGCTGGTTTTGAAAGCCTTCATCCGCAGGCTTTCTTTGAATGGTCGTATGCAGTTTCAGACATGGCTTGAAAGCGGGCTGTAGATGGGATGACGATGTAGAGAAAGGCAATGTAGTGGTTAAGAGTAGGTTAGAGATCAGGGGCTTGGGGTATACGATGCAACGGTTTCATGGGGACAACAAGGGGGGGAGGCTGGGGTTCTGTCTGCAGGGTTAAGTGCTGAAAGCTTGGAGTGAGGGCTTCAGCGATTTAGGGTTCAGGTACCATACGGTTGATGATATACATGTTGCATTACCTTAGGGACCCAAACCTATGGGAATTATGGTATAGTCCTTATTATGGATAATGCAGGATTTGTATCATCAACAGTTGTGGTACTATCGACACAACGGCGAAGCCTCGAGGTCTGGAGTTGTATTGCAGCCCTACAAATTGTGCAAAAAACGCGACGTCTTCAAGCCTGCGTGACACCCTGCCGACCCTAACAACGCATGCAGACCAGACCGATCTCTATCCTAAACTGGTCTCTGAACCAGGGAAATTCATATTTAGTTTAAGTTACCATAATAGGGATCTATTATATATCATAGGATTTTACTATTACGGTACCTTAGCTTAAAACTCCCTTTCAAGCTCATTTAGATCGGAGCTGGACCTCTGAAGGGTTCTTCTCACGAAGAAGTTGTCAGGAGCTCATTCCGACTATCCCCATAAGTGAGCCTCCGAAGGACCACATCAACAAAAGGATCCTATACTTCTGGTGAAGATATTCCTGTACTAGTAGATCCTGGTATAGACTCACCAAAACTTAAAACAGCTTCTTACTGTTTTTAGTCTTAAATGTTGGTAACATTCCTGGTATCACTTTATGAATATGTTTATCGTATTCGTGTTGCTGTCATTACTCCTGTTCTTCTTCTTGTTCCTAGTAGTAGTAGTCGTCGTCGTGTTCTTGTTGTTGTTATTCTTGCCTACTTCTCAGCCCAGCAGGCTACTTCGTTCAGCGGAAGTCGCTGAAGCTCGTTTTTCACCTGCTAGCCAGGACCTCAGTCTCTGCTTTCGGGTTTCTGTTGCGACCCCCAGAAAATGGTGGGTTTTGTAGGTTAGGGTGCCATAAACCCAAAACCCGAAACCTTAAACAAAACCCCGGTTGGGTTCAAGTACCTCTTTGGGAGATGGCTGTTGTGTGTGAAACAAGAGGCAGAGATGCTTTGTACGCTCAGCTGGAGTTTCCAAGCTCATGTCAGGCATTGCCGTTTAAGATTCGCGGGCAGAGAGAGAGAGAGAGAGAGAGAGAGCGCGGGAGTGAGGGAGCGCGGCAGGGAGGGAGGGAGGGAGGGAGGGAGGGAGAGCGAGAGAGCGAGATGGAGGGAGACGGAAGGAGGGAAGGGAGTCAGGTATCTTACATCTTCCTTCTCGCCCTTTTCAGGATTTTACTCGGGAGTGTCCTTCCTTCAACTCATAAGTCTACCACCCTGGAACCCTAAACCCCCCAAGGCCCCAGGATCAACCCTCATAGTTCGGCGTGTCTCTATGATGCTATTGAAGCATGAAGGCTCAACTCTATTTCAATTAACAACACACAGCCAAAGGGTCCAAGTACCACTATAGTTGGCATTTTGCCCCCCCCCCCAAAAAAAAAAAGTATATACTGTACCATTAGTTGGACCCTTTGGGCCTTGGACAAGAAATGAGCTCTTCCCTTCTTAGGGTGGGACCTCAGGAGGCCTTGAACCTGAGCCCCTTAAGACTTCAACCCTGGAACCCATATAGAACTCTTGCAAATCCCGTATGCAAATATGAAAGCCAGTCCGACCAAAACTTACAAAGCTCATACCTAAACTCCCGAAAGGCCCTAAAACCCCAACCCTCAAACCCCTACACCCTAGACCCCAAACTCAACACCCTAAACCCCATACCCCCAACGCCCAAACCCCCAAACCCTACGTAAACCCCTGTAGTACCCTGATGGTAACCTTTGTAGATCTCTTAAAGGAGCCCTTACAGGAACCCTAAACCCTAAAACGGTCAGGTCCACAGGCTTCCTCAACTTCTGGGCTTTCGGACGCTGTTGCAGACGGAAAAGGGCCCAAGTAAAAAAAACGCAAACAACAAACATGCGGCCCTTTGAGGATGCGGGTCTCTGCGAGCTGATGCCCGCGGATCGCGAGCTCTGGCGGCTCCTCGCCCAGGAGCCCTCGTCGCAGTTTGCGGTTGCTGTAGGGCTTCAGAGTGTTAGGGCTTATTTCGGATTTAGGGCTTAGGGCCTTCGGTTTACGGAAGCACTGTGGTTCGGACCGGGTAGGAATCTGAAGAAGGCTACTATGAGGGTTTTACAAGGGTCTTGGGCTTTTTTGCTTCAGCTCCAGCTTTAGCGCCCATGGTCTGGTTGGCACAGGATTCGGGACCTGAAGAGGGTATGAGTATTGACAGTATTGGTATTGGCAGTGAAACTATCATCATCAGAATACTTACTATCAAGCAGCATGACTACTGTTACTATTTAAAGCACAGGCTTTAAGAATTCAGGTGTAAGCCTTGAAAAAGGGCCAAGTCGTTCCTTAGCCAGGAGGTTCATGGGCCGTAGGGTTGTAAGTGACTCCTGTAGTAGGGCCCCTAAAAGCGGTTCCTTCGTGTGTAGCGGTGACAGTTGTAGCACTTTCAAGAGGGCCTACTTCGAAGAGTCAGGGCTTTGACGTCCTGAGCCTGGACTGACGACCTAAACCCTAAACCCTAAACCCTAAACCCTAAACCCTAAACCCAAACCCTAAACCCTAAACCGTTAAAGGCATCGTGTCTTGAGGGCCCGAGACTCCAAGGAAAACAAGGCCACAGCCCGAGCCCTAGACACGACTTGAAATTGCCGGTCTACTCTGCCTATCCGAAGTGGTCACATGGGCGGCACCCGGTCCCCGAAACAGGTAGCCGAACCTGCCTCAAGCATCAACCTGTGGATCTTTGTGTCAGGCTCTAGGGCTCTGGGAGTCGAGCTTGTGAGCCACACCTAGTGGAGTCTCTCGGGTAGGCGGATACAAAGAGTGCAAGTGCCGTGTGTCGACACATCGCGAAGTAGATGTAGCTGCCGTCTCCGGTCTGATCTAGGAACCTTGCTACCCCTAAACCCTGAACTCTGAATTGAAATCCTTGCCCACTGCATCCAGGCACGGCGCAGTGACTACGAGCTTTGCATCGTCTTGACGAAGGCCCTCCGGCGGAGATTTAACACTACTTGAAGGCTCATGGGACTTAGTAAGTAGGTTATAATTGGGGTTATAAGTCCCCTAAGTGGGGTTATCCTAATTATAACCTACCTTACTAAGTCCCATGAGCCTTCAAGTAGGGTCGTTACTCCTGCTGGGGCTTAAGGTGTGAAGCCCCCGTGTGCCATCTGAGTCATGTTAGATGTGTCCACCTTTCATTTAGACCTAAACCTCGAAGCACCCTGGTTCTCTAGTCCCTGAACCCGAGCCCGGCACTATCGCACGAGATCGTGGCTCGCATAACTACCTCCCATACTACCCCCCTCGTATGTAAACCTCAGGACTGCCCCTTAACGCTCGGGATCCCTCCTCTGCCAGGCAGACAACAGTGTGCCTTCGCAGCCAGGGCCTCACTTGTCTGTACTTGGACGGTCGGGGGACTTAGTAAGTAAATATTTACTAGAGTTGTAAGTGTCATAACCCCAATTAGGATCCCTTTTAAGGTACTTATAACTCTACTTATTTCCTACTTACTAAGTCCTCCGACCCTCCGAGTAGTCTCCCGAAACAAGCTGGGTTTTGGACTTCGGGCCTTAGGGCTAGAGGTTTAGCGTTGAGTGTCTGCTTAAATCCTAAGCCCTAAACAGTCCGTCCGAGCCTTTCATTTCAGAGACCAAACTGAAGCAAACGCAAACCCAAAGGCCCCAATAGCCGCCATTCATGCAACAAAACACGAATTTGCCGAAACATGTTTCAGCCAGGACAGAAGGAACCTCGAGGGCCGCAATCCTAAACCTGAAGCGATGAGGCACGGAGATCTAGGCTGACCAGTGTTCTACTACTGCGACGACTACAAGTACCGCAAGTACAACTTCTACGACGACGACGACTACTAATTGCTACTACTACCGCCACTACCACTTCTTCTTCTTCTTTACGATTACATGGTTATTTTCTTGTGAAAGCTGCAAGAGGGAGATGACACACGCCTTGGCCCTTTACCCCAATCGCTCTAGCCCCACCCCCCGCCACCTCCCTCAACCGTTAATCCGAAACCGCAATAGCCTTACCCCCAACCCTATCCCTAAACCCTAAACCTAAGCTTTTAAACCACACATAAGCCTACCGCCCCACCCCCAAAACCCTTAAGAGCTCTCTGAACACGAGGCTTGAGCGGTTTGCCAACCTCGTGCGCGAAGCTCTCCGCCGAGAGGGCTCCGCAGCGGCCTCACAAAAAGAACATAAACTCATTAAGGCATAGACATGCTAGCTTTAATGAGTGTCGTATGCTCGTAATTAGGACTTCAGGGCGAAAGGATTTTAGAGCTGTTTTGGGGTTCAGTTTGCGCTTGGGGGTTCAAGGCTCGCAGGGATGGCCCATACCGTGAGTCCGAAACTCTGGTGTTTTACGCACCTCTAAAACTGAAGGTTCCCGTCGACAAGTTTCAGACTCTAGACCACTTCGTATGCTATTCCCAAAAGCCCAAGCTCTAAGCCCAACCGGCATGTTCGCTAAACCCAAAACCCTAAGCCCTAAGCCCAATTTGTGGTATATAAAGTTGTTGTGCTGAGGACCTCGCACTGCGCGCGACAATCTTCGCTTGCAGTTCGATGTGTGGCGACCCAGTCGAGAAAGGGTTTCTGGCCGGGCACGGTTTAGGGTTTATGGTTTAGGGTTTCTTCTTGCGCAGCGGCTAGTAATCCATGTTAGGATAGCGCCACCTGACACCAGGGTTTGTGGGTGGCGGCATATTACGCATAACGCGACCTCCCTTGCATGTGTCATAGAGCTCGTTGAAACCGATAGTTCTATTAACCCGCCCGCTGTGACGATACCACAGGCAACCGCCCAAACCATCTCCTGTTAGGGTTCAGGAGCTTATGCCCTCAATTACCACACCGAACAGACAGGGGCAGGGGAAGGGCGAGGCAGGGGCCAGGCAGGGAGGATGGGCCATGGGGGCCAATAGGGGGGCCAGGAGGGCCGGGCGCCTGGAAGAAAAATACCGAACGCCCGCCGAAAAAATTGAGCGTTGGGTCCAGATGGGCTGTCTTCGACCATTTTCCATAGGCTCCACCCGTTTTGGCCCAGTGCGGGTGTAAAGGCTGCCGGGCATCTGCAGTGTCTGGGGGCCCCGGGAAGGAATTTAGGGTTTAGGGTTTGGGGTTCGTTTAGGGTCTGAGTATGGTTTTTCCATTGTGTTGGAGTTTAGGAGGGTTGGCCTTGAGGGACACGAGCTCCTGAATAGAGTACAGCTATGCAGCACAGAGAAGAAGACTTTGTTTGTGTCAGGATTATCGAGATACGAACTGTAGATAATTGATTTTTTCTACCCATATTTCCCAAGCCCTCTTTGGATATCGTTGGGGAGGGACAAGGATGAATTTGAATTTTTCCTATCCCTACAAAAACTGAAGGTCAAGTAGCAAGGGGGGCTTGAATAATTAGTCAGTCAGGTAGGCAAACGTCGATGTTCCGCGAGCTGTCCCCCGACTTGCCCGAACAAAAGAACCTAAAGTACAGGTTACAGCTCCTAGCCACAAGAACCTTTAAAATAGGGTACCCATCCCTTATCAAGCCTATCCACATTTCGTAATAACAATCGGAGAGGATCCGAAAGTCAAAAAAACCCACAGCGCTCCAACCCTAAGCTCTAAATTACATCCGAAATTGAGGCCCGAAGCCCTAAAACCGCACAGGACGAAGCTGGGAAAGGACACCCTCTGGCGGAAGATTTGGTCTGACAGGGCCTCAAGTCTCCACCGTTTCGGTGCAATCAGGGGTCACATGAGGGCCTTGGTAGTTGAAGCAGGGTTTTGGGGTGCAAAATAGATCAAGTAGATAGGGAGTGTGCAGGAAGGGTTTTAGGATTTTCATGGGATTGCTGGGGGTTGTGCTACGTTTGCGGATGGGTTATGATGGGTTTAAACCTTTGGCAGGGTAGTATTGTCGGTAGTATATTCCCCGTAACACCATAAAGCTCAACCGTTTGGCCTTTAGTTCCCTTACAGAACTTGAACAACTAGGGAGCACCACCTTGTGAAGACTGGACATCACCCATGAAGATTTCTCTGATTTTCAACCCCCACCTTCATGCGCCAACACCTTCATCTCGATATTTCGCCTATAGTTGTAAGTATTCGCTGATACATACATACATATACATATGCACGCACCTGAACCCTTTCAACACCCCACAGCATGACTACCGAAAACTCTTGAACCATGAGTTAGACCCAAACCCGAAACCATCAAACCCGACGAGTTCCTGAGCCCCAAACCTCATAAAACCCCTTTGGCCAAAAGACTTACTTGGAGGTTCCTGGGTAGTTACAACTAGGGCAATATAAGTCCCGTAATATGGGTTCCTCCAACTAGAGCGGTCCAGCGAAGTCCGGGCGTCACAAGGCCGTCGGCGGCGAGGCATCGACGATCGCCGATCTCGGTGCTGGCCCAGACAACGCCGAGCGCTACCGAAAAACGGCATTCCCGGCCCGGAGTTGGTAAAAAGGGTTACTATCAGGATACTATGAGGGTTCCTTTAAAGGGCTATATAAGGGGGGTTTTGGGAGTTTCCGAAAATTAGGGGCACCTTATTTTGGGGTTCTTATATCAAGGATCCTACTATCTAGGGTACGATCTTAGGGTCCCCTATTTTCGGAAACTCCCAAGTTTGGTCAGGCGCTTAGTGGATTAGGGTTCAGGGTTTAGGGGTTGTATCTTCAGGAATGGGGTCTATGGCATACAACCAAACTGCACAGCGGTTTTCTAAGGTTCATAAAGGCTTATTGTTTGGGGCTTTAGGGATCCTTTAGTTTCGGGTCTTGGGCTTACAATCTAGAGGAGCAATCTGAGAGTTTCCGAAAATAGGGGACCCTAATTTTAGTACCCTAAATAGTGGATCCTTCTTGCAAGGACCCCAAAAGAAGGTACCCCTCATTTTCGGAAACTCCCATCTATCTTACATCATGTTAACGGTCGCCCTGCAGGTTAGAGAATAGTGTTATTAGGGGGGGTGGGCTCGGCTGTCCGGGTCTATCTGTAAAACATCCAAGACTTCTGTATGTATAGACTTGGGAGTAAGCACCTCGGAAACTGGAGCTAAGGGCATAAAGGGGCCTAGCGTTTGAACTGGGTTTGGGTGTATAACATACTGTACTTAAACAGGACACTAAGGGAAATACCTGCACCATACTTCTGATCCAGGCCCCTAAATTAACCCTAAACTCGAAACACAAGAGAGCTGAGTGGCGATGGATTAGGTAACCTTTGTAATTCCTGCAGGCTTCTTTTAACCCTACCCTATCTTCTACGGTTAGCCGATTCCGAGCCAGGGAACTGAACAACTAGTCTCATAAAGCTCTCATAAGACGCGACAGCAACCCTGATAAGAACCCTTGTCAGAACCAATGTGTCACCCTATAAAAAGAAACCTTGTAGAACACCTTAGAGCCCTTTTTCAGAACCAATGTGTAATACTCAGCAACCCTATTCCATGCCGTAGTGAGCAGCATGTGGAAGAGCCCCAGCATGGCATTCGAAGAACTGCTTGATCATAGCCTTCCATGTTCCAAGCAGCCAGGTCTTCGGATTATCCAGTATCCCGGTAAGCTCCGCAGCCAGGAATTCGGCTTGGAGGAGAAGCAGTGAGAAGTCCGGGCCGTTTGGCAGGGCCAGTCAGCCGCGCTTCTAAAATCGGGGACCTTGAACAAGCACTCCTTAAAACCAAGGTCATAATTACTATTTAGTGAAGGTTCGATACTCGAATGAAGGTGTCTGCTTTTGGAAGGTTTGGATGTTGGATACAGGTCTGAAGGGGTCAAGGCCTTAGCAGTTCGGATAAGGCAGCTACAAATACAGGTTGGCAAGCAACATCGAAGGTTCAAGCAAGGTTTCGGATGTGCGACATGGACCTCCGCAAAATTCTCACATGGGTATATGGATAGTAGTCTGAACTTCTTAACCTCAGACCAAGTTTGGTAAACCCTTAAACTCCTGAAGCCCTCATACCCTAAACCCAAACCATTTTCGCTAGGCCGCTAGGAATCTTGAGTTAGGGGCCTGCAGCCACTAGAAAAAGGATCTCTTAAACTGTCTGGTTCTTAGTAGGGAATGGGGGACTGCTTTATGGAGACTATTATTGGGGATCATATAGGGACCACTGTAAGGATCCATTCCCCTATTCCCTACTCAGCACCAGACGGTAAACTCACATCCTCGGGGGCCCATCATGACTTGGGGTTTTTCGCCCTGAACCCTCGCCTGACACCCTGCCTCCAGGACCTACGTTTTCCCACCCATAACCTACATTCTCGCAGGTTCTTATATGGCAAACCCCAGTGTAGAATCTATAATCGTAGCCCGTGCAGATGAGGGGCCTGGCAACTTTGAAACCGCCGCTCCGTTCCGGTCACCCAGAAGCTTCAGGAGCTTTAGAGATCGAGGCAGACATGAAACGACAGCTTTAAGATGCATCGGTCGCCACGATAGCAGACAGAGCATTGGCACTCATACCGAAATCAATCAACATGACTGCAGATAGCCGAGAGTACTATTGGTCCGTTGACACGCAGAACTGCAGAATGATCTAGCTTCCACTACTTCAAGGGTCAGTGTGGTTCTGAGCACTTTAATTTTGTGTTCTACATAATTGAAAAGTAGTTGTGATTGTAGTTTCAAGCATATATAAATGAAGTTGTCCAGTTGGCTCATTCATGACCCGAGTGACTGCTGAGTCCCAAAATCCTTTAAGTAGCCTGTGAGCGGGGCCCCGAAACCCCGTGCCTCGAACCCAACCGTTACAAGAAAGGCGAGCAACTCGTCAGAGGCCCGCAGACAAAGGCCGGAAGACGCTACAACCCTATTAGACAAGGGGTCGAAGCAGTCAACAGTAGCATCTCCTTAGGACCCTGTATGAAACCTTAAGCCCTTCACTAGATTACTAGATCTGCAGTTGCCTTTTGTGCTTCGTGGCCATGTACGCTGCGGCTGTGGGGCCACCGCACGACCCCCGGATTCGAAGGATATGACCCTTGATGTAGGAACCTGATTAAGAAACCTTGGGCCTTTGTTAGGGTTCCTCCTACTATTTGGGGTTATGGCACCAGCATTTCTTAATCAGGTTCCTACGTTACCCATGAAACTCCGAGCATCTTAAACCTCTCTGACGTCCCCTTGGCGGCGAGGCCCATCACCGCTCCGGTGCTGGAGGCTATCGCGCCAGCAGGTCGCATTCTCAGTGCTCACCGTGACAGACAGGTCATAGCTCCCCAAGACCTAACCTCTACGCTTTTTGGGTTCTTACAGTTTAGGAATTGGAAAATTTAACCTTTCATTTCTGTGGCTTATTGGGGTCGCAAGAGGTTTAGGGCTTAGGGAAGGAGCCCTTACTCTTAAAGTTCGGATTTTTGCATTCGGGGTTTAACGGCAAGAACGGTTTGCAGAGTGCAGCAGCCTTCTGCAATCTCCTACCTAAGCCCTACGTACCCTAAACCCCTCGATACAAGTTTCGACTTTGGAGGGGGAGACCATTGAGGCTTGCTGGAGTGAGTGCGAACCTTTATGTAGACACTGCATGCACTACTTGGAGGTTCAAGGGTGTTAGAAGTAGGGTAACTATACATAAAACCATATGAGGGGCCTCATAACCCTACTTATAACTACCCATGGACCTCCAAGTGCATAGTAAGACCGAGAAAAGAAGGATCACTGAGACGGGGACCGCTAGTGTAAGACCACCCCATAGGTCGTTCAAAGTGCCAAAACCTAGACTCTCGTAATGGCTCCTGCCCGGTGTCTGTGCTTTATTGGATTTCAGGGTTGAGGTGTAGGAGTCTAGGACCTACGGCTGATGATTCAAATTGTCCATTACCTTAATGACCCTAAACTATGGGACTTATGGCATATTCCTTATTATGGGTAATGCAGGATTTGTATCATCAACCGTAGGATTCAGGTTTGCGACTTTTGAAAAGCTGAAGGTCCAGGACTTGTGGTTTTGGGGAATGCTTAGGGGTGGAGACATGCTGAGGCAGTGTTCTTTTGGGGATAAGGGTCTAGGGTTTAGGGGTAGAGGTCCCCCTTAAGCTGGAACGTACCTCTATTGTATTGTATTACGTTAACGTCTTATGGCTGGCTTCACTCAGGCAGGAGGGGCACGGGTTCGAATTCCTCGAGACACCACCAAGAACCCTGCAACCCAGAAAGTTACAACCAAGCCGACCAAGCCATCAGTTCCGGGGACATGACGGCCGTCGGAGATCGAAAGACACGATCTTTGACTAGGATGCCCAGTAGTACCCTTATTCCCCTTTTGCAGTCCTAGGTTCCTTATAAAGTTACGCCCTGTTTATTCCTAGTAGGTTACTGGGCATCCTAGTGGAACATGCGACACGAGTAGAAGCTCGAAGGCCAAAAAAAGGGCCCACTGATTCCCAAGTCCCTCTATTATAGTTATAGGGGCCGAAATAATTACCTATACAATTTTGGGGAACCTTATTATAATTATAGTATAACGGACCCCGAAACCCTGTTCTAATTATCAAGGCCCCTTTTGTCGAGCTCTGAAACCTTTTCAGGTCCTCGGCCCCTCCCCGCTCTAAGCTCCGAGCCTTAGCGAGCCTTCGTTTAGGGTTTAGGGTTGGTTTTAGGGTTTAGAGTTTAGGGTTGGGTTTAGGGGTTAGGGTTGGGTGTAAGGTTTAGGGTTGGGTTTAGGGTTTAGGGTTTCGCGTAAACAGAAACTATTCGGCCAGTCACGAGACTTTCGGTTAGTTTGTTTGGACGGTTACAGGGATTCCGTTTATTCCTTATTGTGAGTTTAGAAAAATGCGCCCAAAAAACCCTTATTCGGTTTCTTCCTCCTTTAAAGGAGCACGAAGAGGAGCGCGGAACTCTTAAGCCGGTGGCACCTGTTGAGGTCCGCGTGGAACCTTTTAAACACTCTGAACCCCCTTAGGCCATCTAGCAAATCCTGAGCCTGTTAACAAAAGCCAAATCTCTGAAAAGCACCGCGACCCCATTCAGAAAGGCCAAATCCTTGAAAAGCATCCAGAACCCGACAAACAAAAAAGCAGTTATTCACAACAATACTAGTTTTAATATAGTTAATAGTAATTAACAAGAAGGATAGGCATAAGACCGGACCAGAGAATGCGAACACCAATGATAATAACGCCACTACCACCACTATTGCTCCACTACTAGTACTACTGCTAGTAGTAGTAGCAGTAGTAGTAGTAGTACTACTACTACTGCTACTACTACTACTGCTACTACTGCTACTGCTACTGCTACACTGGCCCTACGGCTGATAACCGCAATACTGAAAGCCCTCAAGCCCTGACAGCCCCTCGTTTGGACTCCGGCCGGAGCTGCGGCTCGCGTGCTGCGCGGCAGGTGGGGTGGTTGCAAATATTTTCCGGTCGGATGGCTAAAGGTTCCGTTAAGGGTTACTATAAGGAAGCGCTTTAGGGTTTGGGAGGGTTTGGGCCGTAGGGGATGTGAACTTTGGAGTGGCACGGTGCGTTCAGGTATGTATGGGACCGAAGCCAGGGGTGAAAACAGAATGGATCTTGGTCTTGGTCTCCAACCTTCTGTCATGTAGGATGGAAAAGAAGACAGTGTCTGGCCCGTGTTCAGTCAGTTGTTCCTGTATTCATAAGGCTTAAGGGTTCAGGCTTCAGGCTTGTTATTCCCCTAAGCCCAAACCAATCCAAGAACAACTGGGTCCCCACATCCCGAAGTGGAAAGATATCTCCTCAGCCGGAAGCCACAGAATCAGAGCCGACACCTACTGGCCGTAGATGTCTTACTACATTTGCGTCTTATGTAGTCGCTGCTATCTATCATCCATCATGTCTTAGTCTTACTGGGCGCTGGGGTTATCTCACATCAGCTGGTGAGAATACACATCAACGCCGACAGACGCTGGTTTAGGGAGAATACACATCAGCGGGAAATTTACACATCAGAACTACCTAAACCCCATGTAGACGCTGGTTTCAACAAGCACGCAGCAGGTAGGCCAAAGTGCCGGATTTGTTGCGGACGCTGAGGGGTGGTGAGTACGTCGCTATATTATAGGCCTACGCGAGTCCCGCGTGACCCTGCGCGAGTCCCGCGCGACGCAGATGTGAGCAGAAGACTCTTTGGGCTTCCAAAACCGACAGGCAGAGACCGCACCAGTGCATATGTATACATATGTCTAATACATAAGCTGCAATGCACAAGCACACACTCGTGCGAAGACGAGCGCGCACAAGCCCACTGACACTGACAAATGCGAGTGCGTGCTGTGGACGCCGAAGAATATGAAGGTGAAGATACAGAGCTTGATAAGATGATACAACGTTTATAATGCGTTCCCCGAAGTAGACGCCTTGCAGATGCGTAAAACACCCAGGTGACACGAGATAGCCCCGGGACCCAGTACCTGTTGTCGTTGCGTACAGCCCCAAAATCTATAGTCTGTAGCATAGATTATGTGGCACGAAAATTGCAACATGACAATCATAACCCATTGCCGACATCATGTAATATACTGTTCCTATGTATGCATCTTCAAAGCTTTGCATACTCTACACGGTATATTGCCTACTAACCCACAACTGTTCATGGTTCATCTTTTTCCGTTATCCGTTATACATACGATC